TTTGGGTTAGAATTGACCCCTAACCCACAACGGATCCAGCCTTGGTTCCACTGGTCCAGCCTCAGTCCTGACTGGTCTAGCCTTGGCCCTTTTGGGTCAGCCTTGATCCCATGGGTCCAGCCTTGACTATAGTGTCCAGCCTGGGCCCCATGGGTCCAGCCTCAGTCCTGACTGGTCCAGCTTAGAATCCAAATGTCACAGAACAGATACTGTAAGTTTGAGCAAACCATGCCCCACTCCCGCCCAGCTGATGCTTCCACTCTCCACCCTGCCTGCTTCTCCCCACCTCCTATTCCTGGCCCTCATCATGGCTGTGGTTTTACTCTAGTTCATGCCATCAGCTCACATACATCCGTCTTCCTAGTTAGACTAAAAGCTCCATGCAGGTAGGGAGTGTCTTAGCCACACTGTCCTCAGCACCCATCTCTATGCCTAATGTGAAACTGGCGTGAGCAAACTATTTGGAAAATAAAGACATGAATCACGGACAAGACATATGCATCTCCTGGTGCCTCTTCCCACATCCAGTCTGCTGGGTGACATCCTATACGGAGCTAGTGTCACTGTGAGGCAGTTTCTGGAAACTAACCTGGGGAACCAGCGTACCTGCTGGGCTCACCTTGAGGAAGCGCCGATAGCCTCGCACAGCTGTCTCGGGCAGTGGGTGTGAGCGCAGGAAGCGCAGATACAGGGGCCAAATTCGAGAGTGCTGCGTGATGGGCAGTGCCCGGAGGGCACGGTCGAAGGTGCGGCGGGTGTGTGTGACGCGCCCCTGGTCCATGAGGAACTGGCAGTAATCTAGCCACAGACGGGGCATCTGGGGGTGTGGGGAGAGGCGGCTGGGGCTAAGCCACGGACTCCGTGGCCTACCCACAGACACTTGATGTCCTGTGGCTGAGTCACACCTGGGGCCTCCACATAAATGCAGCAGGACCCAGAAACCCCCAGCTCCAGGACTGAGTCCAGCCCAACTTCCCATGCACAGAAGCAACAGGATTCCAGGCCCCCATCCCTAACATGCTGAGCCCAGCCCCTGTCCCTACCCCACCCACCACCATGGACTGAGCCCCCCCCCCCGATTTATCCCCTCGCCTAGCCCCAGACCTTGTGCATGAACACAAAGGCCCTCTCATGGCAGTTGTTGACATCTTCGTAGGCGGGGTCGGTCACACAGCGATGCTTCACCTGTGCCCGACGTGCCTTCAGGTATCGGTACCAGAGTTTGTAGCTGGGGAACAGGAGGGGACAGATGCTGATCGGTCAGCTTTATGGACCCCCCCCAGAACCATCTGCCCTGCCCCTGTTGGCAAATGTGGGTGTGGGAGGGGTGACATGTCTCAGCAATGACAGGGACAGACTGGGACATCAGAGGAGGTGTGCTGACCCATCAAGGGATGTACAGGTCAGTGATGGGACACAAAGCAATCACCTGGGACCTACTTGGCAGTTTTGTTATAACTGGACCGGGGGGGGCAGGGGCTGGTGGGCAGGGCAGCTGGAGCCATTCCCACCTGCAAGGTAGCAGCTTGAGTGCCCGCTCATATAGCTGATTGAGCCTGGGCTTCGGGGCGCCCTGTTTGAACTCGATGTAGCGAAGCCAGCATTTGACAGAGAACTGGTTCCGCATGATTTCCTCCTCATAGGGGAGGTCCTCTTCCTCCTGCCAGGGCCAGGGAATGGGGAGAAGAGAGGTCTACCCTCAGAGCCTGCGTGCGGCACCACCCCACTACTGGGGCTCAGGTCCAAACTCTGGACTTTTACCCAGATCCCACCACCCACCAAGGAAGTCAGGTCACCAGATGCCCAGGCACCAAACCAGATGCCCAGACACCAAGACACTGGCCCAGACCTTTACCCCTCAGAATTCAACTACCCAAAATTGAACCCAAATCATCAGACTTCTCAGTTATTAGGGCTCTGGGCCAGGCATGAGTCCACATCACCACTCGCTTTCTGCCCCAAATGGTCAGACTCCTTAGCTACCAAGGCCCTGGCCCAGATGCCAGGCCTCTGTCCTGGACACCAGACCCCACTTCTTCAAAACATGCCTCTTCCCAGACACCAGGCCTTTGGCCCCTCAGACTCCCACTGTCACCAACTGACCCATCTCCACTCCAGGCCCAGACGACCAGATCTTCACCCCAGCCACCAGGGCTCTCAGGTCCAGATTTCAAGCCACTGGCCCCACCCCCAGGATCCCACTAGCCAGCATCTAGCTCAACTCTGCCCCAGAAGTTAAAAGCTAGGACTTTATCTCATAAGAGCAGTTATACACCAGAAGCCAAGCCTTTAACTCTGCACACCAAGAATCTGGTGAAGATGTCACGCCTCTACTCCAGACAATAAGCATTTCATTGGCCATTGCCTGACAAGCTCCACAACACCAGGGTTCTTCTAGCCTGGCCACCACCCCCAGAAACTGTCATGCCGCAGTCCAGACCTAGAGACCGCTATCTAAAAAACCAAGCCTTCATTCCAGAAACCGGAGCCCTGGCCTCGTAATCACGCCTTTACTTCAGACACCGGTCTTCACTTCTCAACGTTCAATTATGCGGTCTCCTTCCTCTCCCATTCCCTGCAAGCCCCCATTTCCGCCCCTGGCTCGGGAGGCTAGACGCTTTCCTTCGACAGTAGTTTTCTACTCATACCCTAAGACACAACACCGTATTTTTTACTCCTGGCCAGTTAGGTGTGGACATCACAATCCGGTCTCTGGCCCGTTAGGGTCCCCAATCCTTGGCCTGGCAATTTTGGCCTAAATCCCCTTGGCGACCCGGCCCCGATCCCCTGCGGCGTCCAGGTCCCAATGCCCCAACGCAGGCCACCCCTGGCTCCTCTGTGGACTCACGAAGACAAGGTCCGGCCGCTCGGGCCGCGAGAGTCGCGCCATCACCACCATTTTCCTGGATGCCCAGGTACAGGCGAGAGTCGCGCGCTTATGACATCTACCGCTGACGGCCCGCCCCTCCGGGCCAGGCCCGTTTTCTATTGGTTAAATCCTTTTTGACGGACAGGCTCACGTTATTGACTTCGTTTCGAAGACGCCAGCGACCGGAAGCAACATAGAGACGCCCGAATATACGTCATCAGGATACACATTGGCCAATCAGCTTCAGCAATGGAGCGTGCAAAACACCAATGAGCTTCTGTCTTGCTGGAGGGTCGGCTTTGGGCGGAAGTTGCTTTGTTGACCGGGAGAAACGAGATGGGGGTGAAGCTGGAGATATTTCGGGTCAGTGGACACAGGAGTGGATTGGGAGGCTGAGCAGGGGATCTTCCTGGATCTGAAGATGAGGCTGGAAATGGGGGTCTTAAAAGAAAGAGGGTGCTCCAAGGAGAAAGCTCTTAAGATTTGAGAGGGACCTTTCTGGTTGGAAATCCAGGAGAGGGGACGCTGGGTTGTGGGGTGGGGGGGGTTCTCAGATTTGGGCTTCTGGGTTTGGGGGCTGTGAGAGGGCTGGTCCGAGGAAAGACCTCAGAGAGGGGTTGGCTGAGAAGGGGGCTCTAAAGAAGGAAGACTTAAGATCCTGGGGGAGCTCTCGGGCTTGTGGTGGGTGGGTGTCTATGATAGGGAGACTCCCAGACTTCGAGAAGTGAAGTTGAAGAGTGACGCCTCCTGGGTTTGGGGGTGCTCCCGGGATCTTAAGTGGGGATGAGTAATGAGGTCTCGAGGAGATGCTTTTGATTGTAGCTCGGGCCTCTGTATGTCTGTCTGTCTTTGAGAGGAAGACTCCAGCTCAGGGGGGACTTTCAGGAATGAAGCCTCCTGGATTATAGAAGTTAGGTTTTAGGATGCGAGGTTTCTGTACCCTTGGTGGGAGTTCTGGGGTTCTTGGGTCGGCCCTAACGAGGCGCTTCTGGACTCTGCAGTAGGATGGGTCCCCCAGGCTCTGAGCAGCCTCTGCACATTGCTTGGGGCGAGGGGGGCGGTCACCTCACCCACCCTCTGCCATTCCAGATGATACTCTACCTCACTTTCCCTGTGGCTATGTTCTGGGTTTCCAATCAGGCCGAGTGGTTTGAGGGCTACGTCATACAGCGCAAGGTGGGCATAAGAGGAGTGTTCGAGGGTTCACTCCAGGGGTGGGAGAGGGTGCGGGGCACCAATCTGCTGGGGACCAATGTCTGCCTCCCATGAGCTGACCCTACCCTGGTGTGGGGCTCTGGAGGCTCTTGGCTTGTGTCCCAGTTGTGACTTTTCCTTACAGAGGGAGCTGTGGACACCTGAGAAGGTAAGTGATCTCATCTTCTTCCTGCCAGAGGGATGGAGGAGGCTGGATGCTTGTATCCGGGATGGGTTTCAGGTGAAAATTTTAGGCCAGGTGCAGTGGCTCATGGCTGTAATCCCAGGGCATGGGAGGCCGAGGTGGGTGGATCACTTGAGGTCAGGAGTTCAAGACCAGCCTGGCCAACATGGCAAAACCCCATGTCTACAAAAATACAAAAATTAGCCGGGTGTGATGGCAGGTGCCTATAATTCCAGTTGCTCGGGAGACTGAGGGAGGAGAATCACCTGAACCCCAGAGGCAGAGGTTGCAGTGAGCCCAAGATCACGCCACTGCACTCCAGCCTGGGCAATAGAGCAAGACTTCGTCTCAAAAAGGAACATTTTACTCTCAGCCATGAGTAAGGAACCGAGAGCAGAGGAGGAGATGGTTTCCTTATTGCCTTCTCCTGGAAGAGTGAAGCGGATCCCCCTTGGACCCCTTTGTCATTGGCAGGGGGCTTCCAATGAAGACACTGAAACCTGAAGCCGTGGTCTGGGGCAGGGTGGTGGGAGAGTGGTAGAGGGATCCCGGCTCAGCGCTGAGGTGTGTGCCCCTCCCCCCTTCCTGTCCCACCCACTTCTCCATCCACAGCTTCAAGAGATAGAAGAATTCAAAGAGAGGGTACGGAAGCGGCGGGAGGAGAAGCTTCTTCGCGATGCCCAGCAGAAATCCTGAGGCCTCCAAGTGGGAGTCCTCGCCCCTCCCCTGATGAAATATACGCATACTCAGTTCCTTGTTACTCATGGAAGTGTTTTATTCTTTTATCAGTTTTTGGGGGCCGAGTAAGGCCCAGGATGCCTCAGGCCCTCAGGGGGCTTGTGTCGGGGGCTGGGGGCTGCTGTTCCGACGGAAGCCGAGAGCGGTCGGGTCCTGAGGGGTGAGCAGGGGTTGGGGACTGAGGGTCCCAGCTCGTTTCTGCGCTCCGTCCTGTGGATGAAGAGGGGTCAGCCGGGGGGAGGGCTCAAGGGCAGTGCCAGCCAGAGGTGGCGAACGTTGGAGAGAGGGTGTGGGTGGGCACCGTGTCCCACCTCATCTGAGCACTGGTCTATGTTTACCTTCAATATCTGCCATTTAGGGTGGCATTTGAGCGTGAGGTGGCAGGTCTTGGGACCCTCACTGGGGTCCTGATCAGAACCCAAGCTTTGTGTATGTGTGAAGTCAACACATGTGAGTATGCAGATGTGTGTGTGTGTATATACATATATATATATATATATGTATGTGTGTGTATATATATATATACATCCTATGCGTGAGCTCACGTGCCCTCCTCCCTGAGGTATCCTAGGAGGGGGTCCTGTTTTCTCCCTTTGGCCTCCCCAGAACCTTTAGACTTGGGGGCAGGAGCCACAAGTTCCAGCCATGGGTCTGACACTAGCATGGCCCCTATATAACCTTAGGCCCCTCTAGCCGCTGCCTGGGCCTTGGTCCGTCCTCCCATCTGAAGTCAGGGCAGCGGATGGACAGAGGTGGGGCAGGCCCTGTTCTCTCCCGGCTGGGTGGAGGGCAGGATTGGAGAGCACTGCCTGGTGGGTTTCTCCTCGGCATCGCCAGAACATCACCTACCTTGGGCCCCACGGGCTGGAAGCCGGGCAGGCTGCTGACTGTCACACGTTGGTCATCCATGCGGCGGCCCTGGGTGCTGGCCAGCATGTCCATGAGGCTGTCCATCTCAGGGGTGGGGTCGCTCTCTGCGTGGACATTCACAGACTTGGGAGGACACAGCCGGACTGGGGGCCCCCAACCCTACCCCTTCACCCCCATGCAGATGCTTCAGGTGTACCACCGCCTCCCACACCCCGTGCCCCCAGGCCCTCCAGATGACCACACGCCCCGCACTCCCACCCTGTTCACGGCCCATGGACAGCACCCCCGTGCCCGTGCTCACCGCTCTTGGTGGTCTGGCCCGGCCCGGCCTGCAGTGAACAGCGCTGCCCCTCCATCCGGTCACCCTGCACGTGGCTCAGCAGATTGAAGAAGCCCTCCTGGTCTGGGGAGCCCGCCTGCGGACAGACCCGCTCAGTCCGGTTGGCCCTTCAGCTTAGGGGCCCCTCCCCAACCTTCCCAGCCAGCCTGCTCACACCCGACCCTGGGGCCTGCTGTCCCCTCTTCCTCAGCTCTCACCATGGTCCCCGCCGATCCGCTCTGCAGAGCTGTTCTGGATGAGACATGAGTCTCCTTCCCAATCCCGGCCCCCGCCCCCAGGGCCCCGGCCGGCAGTGCCACTTCACGTGGTACCGTCTCAAGGGACAGGTTCCGATGCCAGTGTCCTGCCGTCCTAGATTAGGGTCCTGATGAGTGTGGCCTGGGAGCTGGGACATGAGTCAGGGAAACATGGCCCAGGAGCTACCCCCAGGTCCCAGCATCTCCCATCAATAGGGGTCCACACAGAGAGCCCTGCCCTCTGCCCTGGGGCCTGGCACTCAGACCTCCAAGCCCACCAGCCCCTTTCTACAGCCACAACTGGGTCAGGGGGTCCTAGGAGACTCACTCGCTAATTAGGTGCCCTACAAACTAATTAGTCTTGTCAATCATGGGCTCTGAGACCTTGAGCTGGGGGTGGGGTGGGGGCAGGGCCTTCTCACCTCGGCACAGGGGCCTGAGCCCTCCTCCGGCTTCTCCTCCTGATCCATCATGTCCCTGGACTCCGGTCACTTTCCTGCTGGCCTCTGTCCCGGCCCAGTGCCAGAGAGGGCCTTTTAAACGTCCGGGACGTGGGGGTGTGGATTCCCCCCATCCCCAAATCCCCAGCTCATGCCCCATCTGCTCCCACCCAAGCTTAAGCCCCATAAAGATCATCCAGATAATTGTTTGCCCACAACGATGCCTGATCTGGCATGGGGGGTAGGGGGCAGGGCGACCGGAGCTTGAACCTCGCCGGGCCCAGCAGCAGTGACCGGACCCCAAGGACTCCCGGGTGTGATGTCACGAAAGGCCTGAGCAGCGTCCCCACAGTTGGAGAAGGGAAGCCAACAGAGTAGGGTGGTAGCTGGCTTAGGCGAGGACTTGGCAGGTGTCCCTACCCAGCCACCCAGGTCCCCCCACTGGCTCCTGGAAGGGCAGCTGCCACCTGCAGTCAGTAGAGAAAGAAGAGATTGGAGTCAAAGGCCCCTTCCCTCCCTCCCTCCCTCTCTCTCTGCACCTGCCTCAGATGCCACCCTAGCACCAGCTCTGTCTCCTTGGCAGCAAGTCAAGGGGTCTCCCAGCCACCCTTCCCTTGACTCACTGTCCCTGGATCCTGGCTGCCTGCCCCAGACCCCAAAACAAGAAAGTCTGGGGTCTCCTGTTCCCACACCACCCACATGCCAGGTTGAGCTATCTCCTATCGATCACCCCAGCCCCAGGTGGAAACAGGAGGTGAGACTCCCTGGGGACAGGCAGGCGGGGAGAGGACGTCCCTGCCTTCTTCCCCAAGCCACTGTGGCTTTCCCTCGGTGCCCGAGAAGGGGATGCCACTGGGAAGTCCCCATCCCCTTCCCTGCGCTCCCCAAGATGACTTTACAGAAAGCAGTGGAAGTTTCACCTCAGAATGAATGGACGGCCCTATCACCACCTCTGTCCGAGTCTCCCCTGTTCCACAAAGGGCCAGGTTCACGCTCTCTCCCTCTATGCCAACCAAGTGTCCCCCTCCTCAGCACAAGTATCCCTTTCCTAGGCCTGCCAGAACAAAGTCTCACAGACCAGATGGCTTAAAGCAACGTATGTTGACTTTTATCACGTATTTTTATATAGAGATGAGGTCTCACTATATTGCCCAGGCTAGTCTCAAACTCCTGCATTCATGTGTTCCTCCGGCCTGGGCCTCCCAAAGTGCTGGGATTACAGGCATGAGCCACCATGCTCAGCCTTTAAAATGTTTTTTAACAGAAATGTATTGAGCCAACGTTCCAGAGGCCAGAGCCTGAAATGAAGGTGTTGGCAGAGCTGTGCTCCCTCTGGAAACCAGGTCTCAGGAGCCCTCTTTGTCCCTCCCTGGCTTTTGGCAGCGCCTGCCATCCTTGGTGTCCTTGGCTTGTCACTGCAGCTCTTCACTCCCTGCCTCCGTGGTCACATGGCATTCTCCCTCTGTGTCCTGGTCTTCATATACCCATTCCCCCACTTCCCAACCACCTACCCAGAATCAGGCAGCCATATAACTATCTTACAAGGACACCAGTGATATTGCATTAGGAGCCCATCCTACTCCAATGTGGCCTCATGCTCACTGCTAATATCTATAATGACCCCATTACAAATAAGGTCCTATTGTGGGGTATTGGGGATTAGTACTTCATATCTTGTGGGGGTTGGGGTGGAATGATTGGCCGTATCAGCTCTCCCTCCCCTCAAGAGGTCAAGCTGAGAAGCTGGAGGCGGTCCTGTCTTCCGTCCTTCCCCTCAGGATCTGGAGGGTTCCCTGCCTTCCCCCGTTCAAAACTCTTCCCTTGGGTTTTATCTTCTCAAGACCAAACCCAAACCCCTTGGGGTCGTGGATATGTTCTGAAGTGGATTGTGGTAATGGACACACAGCTCCAAAAATACTAAAAGCCATTGACTTACGCACTTTAGGTCAGCAACTTGTATGGTATGTGAATTATATCTCAGTAAAGCTGTTAAAAAAGGAGGAAGGGGCAGGGTGTGGTGGCTCATACTTAAAATCCTAACACTTTGGGAGGCCAAGGCAGGAGGATCCTTTGAGACCAGGAGTTTGATACCAGCCTGGGCAACATAGGGAGACCCTGTCTCTTAACAACGACAACAACAACAACAAAATCAGCTGGGCGAGGTGGTCCCAGCTACTTGGGAGGCTGAGGTGGAAGAATCCCTTGAGCTCAGGAAGCAACAGAGCGAGACCCTGTCTCTTTACACAACAAAAACAGAAACAAACAAAAACGGGGAGGAGGGAGAAGAAGGAAGAAAGGAAGGGAAAAAGAGAGGAAAGGAAGAAATAGCTCAAACTCCTACCTACGGTCACCAACCGTCCTGGTTTGCCTGTGACTGTCCTATTTTTAGCACTGAAAGTCCTGCATCCTGGCACTGGGATGGGTCAGTCTGACCTTGTCCTACAGAACTCTGGCCCCTACTGCCCCCACCCTCCAGCCTTCTTAAGCTCGGGGCCCCTCCCTTCTCTACCTGGACATGCTGTGTAGATGCTTCTAGAATTCATTCAGGGATAATGTCAAAAGGCTGCTTCTTCAGAGAGGTCCTTGGGGGTCGCCCTCAATAAAGTCCCCTCCCACTCCTACCTTTCATGGCACTTGCTGTCACATCAGTTTATTTCCTTTAGGGCAGCATGGATCCTTTCCTTTCTCCGCCAGACCTTCGGGTCTGATTCACTCTCTGTGTCCCGTGTAAGTGGCAGGGGTCTTGGTACCTTCATCAACACGGCAGAGCGAAGGAACCAGCTCAGACCCGTAAGAGTCTGTTTACACACATACCTCGCACCTTAATTTGGAGACCTCATTTTTGTATGGGTGCTGCGGGGGCTGTGCCTTTAAAGTAGCAGGACACACAGCAGAAGCAGCTCCTGAAATTCCAAGTTGAGTGTGTGTGTGTGTGTGTGTGTGTGTGTATGTGTGTGTGTGTGTGTGTTTGCAAGCATTTGAGGGCGTCACTCACCCCATGTGTGTATCAGCATGTTAATTCGATTGTTGGTCCACAAGGGTAAGTGTGGCGCCTCCCGGAAGAGGGTAAGGCTGTGACAAGTGCTCCCCAGGGACAGGCTCCTGGCTGGAATCCCAGCAGGCTCACTCGTCGTGGCCTTGGATTAGGGATCGCGCTAAGCCTCGGTTCCTCATCGGCACCGCAGTCCAGGTCGGGGCATCGGGCAGGGCTGAATGAAAATTATGTCCAGGTGCCGGCACACAAGAGGTCTCCAGGCCTCCTGAATCCATCAAAAGTTATCCAAGACGGCTGCTGCTGCTGCTGCCTCTAAACCCTGAAGTACAGAAGACAAGTGGGTCAAGATCCCAGGCCCAGACGGTGGCGGCCTGGTGGCATCGAGTGGGCGCGTGTATCTTGCAGTCACCGAACCTTCCAGGGAAGATGGAGGGATTATTGCCCTGCGATCCCGCTTCGCACGCAAGCCAGGAAGTGTGTGTCTGAACTCCCGTCTGTGAGCGTGTCATCGAGGTGTGCCCCTCCAGCGACTTCGTGCTCGGCTGCGCAGACGCACCTGCCTGTCCTCTCCGCCAGGGACTCAACTTCCTGGGCCTGGGCGAGAACCGACGGCGGGGAGGGGCCAGGTGCGCAGGGGGCGGGATCAGGGCCCGCGGGGCGGGGTCCACGTGGGTGACGCGCGGGGCCACGCCCCCACCTTGGGACACACCCGGAAGCGGCGACAGCGGCGCCCCTCGGGGAAGATGGCGCCCTCGGGGCTGAAGGCGGTGGTGGGGGAAAGTGAGTGCCTCTCCAGGGCCGGGCTCTGGCGTCCCGTGGGGGATCGGGGTCGGGGGCGCACGGGCTCTGGGACCCTGGGTTCGTGGCGGCTAGGAGTTGGGAGCCGGGCTGGGCGTCCGAGCACCTGACCCTCGAGGGGGCGGGCGGGGACGGGTTCCCAGCTGGACGCCCCTGCTCGCCGGTACTAGAGCACAACAAAATTGGGGGGCCGGACTCCGGGGACCCAAAGGGGACGGGTAGAGGGTGGCGTAGGCTGGGGCGCGGACTCCTGGGCCTCTTAGGGTGCCTGCCGGGGGAGGAGGGCACAGCTGGATGCCCACACTCTAGGATCTCTTAAGCTGGGCAAAGTTCAGGGGCTGGACTCTTGGGACCTCCTGGGGCTCTGATCAGCGACCCCAGATGCTGTGAGCGCTCAGGGGACGTGTCCAGGCCCCACGGGGGTGGTGTAGGGGGTGCCTTCCTCCTTGCCTCATTCCCAGGAGCGCCTTGCAGCTGGAGGACCCAGACTTCCAGGCCTCACCGGCCCCCGTTCTTGGGGGAAGGGTGGAAGGCGCCTCTTCCTCCACCCCGTGGAGTTCCGGCCTCAGCTGCTCCTTCCGCCCTGGCCTCCTTGATAACAGTGGACATGACACAGTGGACGTGGCTGGGCGGGGCCACCCCGTTACTTCTCTCCACTCTCTCCTCTAGGCAGGGCAGTCTGTAGCTCAAAACCCTGTAATTGGGGGAGATTGGAAAAACAGTGATTCCATTTTACAGATGAGGAAACTGAGGCCGAAGGTCGGTGGGCTAGCCTCAGCTAGGCATGCCTCAGAGCTGGGAACCAGGGGTCCTACATTTTAGACCAGGGTTGGGGGACTGGCTGAAACCCATACAGCAGGAATACTTGAGGCAGCAGGTGGGGAATCGGAGAGCCTGGCTCTAGAGGCAGATAGAGCTGTGGATGATCCCGGCTCTCCACTTTTCATTCATCTAAAATATGTTTATCGAGTGGCACCTTTTGACCCGGCACTCTGCCACTTAAACACTCAGAATGCTTAGGTGAGTTGCATGTTGCCTAAGAATCTGTTTCCCTGTCTGTACATTGGGGGTGTCCCCAGAAGCCACCTCGCAGAACTGGGGGGTAAAAATAAATGGTTCCCGTGTAGTGTCTCATGCCTGTAATCCCAGCACTTTGGGAGGCCGAGGCAGGAGGATTGCTTGAGGCCAGAAGTTTGAGACCAGCTTGAGCAACATAGCGAGACCCCATCTATACCAAAATAAAAATAAATTAGCTGTGGGTGGTACACACACCTGTAGTCCCAGCTACTTGGGAGGCGGAGGCGAGAGGATCGCTGGCTCCCAGGAGTTGGAGGCTGTAGTGAGTTACGATCACACCACTGCGCTTTAGCCTAGGTGACAGAGTGAGACCCTCCTCTCTTAGAAAGGATAAATGGGAATTAAGATGGGGGTTCAGCCCCAAGGCTGAGAAGGCTTGGGGCAGTGGTGGGACCAGAGAACCAGCGTTCTGACCCCTCCCCTCCCTTCCCTGCAGAAATTCTGAGCGGAGTTATTCGGAGTGTCAAGAAGGATGGGGAGTGGAAGGTAGGGGCAAGGAAGATGGCTGGGTACCCAGAGGCAGCCCCTCATCAAGCCCATGGGGAAGACTCTGAATGTGGAACCCCCGAGAACTGCCTGTCCACATGGGTGGAGTTGGGTGAATGGGTCCTGGGTCCTCCCGCCCAGCCAGCCCTTGAAACTGCCCCTCCCACTGCCTTGGCTCCTCCTGGGGCCAGCTGTGGCCTCTTCCGCCTGCTCCTCCGTCCATCTGTCCATCCATCTGGACAGGTGCTTATCATGGATCACCCAAGCATGCGCATCTTGTCTTCCTGCTGCAAAATGTCAGACATCCTGGCTGAGGGCATCACCAGTGAGTGAATGCGTCCCAGTGAGATGGGACTTGAGTGTGGGAACCCCTGACTGTGCCCCGCTCCCAGGGTTCAGCCCTTGAGCATAGGATCCCCTCAAATCGTCCAGAACTCCCAAGTACGCAGCTCCCTGCAGGGACAGCCTTGATCATGTGACCAAGTCAATTTCCTAAATGTTGCAAGCTGAGGGCAGGAGCCCATGGATTGCAGACCTCCCCTGCAGGACTCCCTGGCTGCAGCCCCTTCCTAACCGTGCAGCCCCTGTGTGGAGCACTGTGTGGGACTCCCAGGGTGGACTCTGGATGTGAGGCCCCAAGAATGCAGAGCCTTCTATGGGTGACCCCAGGAGGTGCCCCAGTCACTTTGCCATTGAGGGACAGGTGCTGAGGGAACCTGTCCTCTCAGAACCTCAGTTTCCCTGTCTGTAAATTGGGGAACCCGGTTTGGAACCCAGTTGGCTGCACAGCCCCCAAGTGTGCAGAACCCTGCCGTGTGACTCTTAGCTGGGTGACCCCGAGGTATGTTTCTCCTGCAGTCCCTCCTAAGCATCCACTCCCCCTTCCCAAGCCTCCAACTCCCCATACCTGAGACTCCCCATGTGGCCCTTCCTGGATGCCACCCACCTGTGTCCCTTCCTCTGTTCCTACTAGTTGTTGAAGACATCAACAAACGGCGAGAACCCATTCCCAGCCTGGAGGCCATTTATTTGCTGAGCCCAACGGAGAAGGTGCCTACATGAATGAGCGTGTGTATGCGTGTGCATGTGTGTACATGTGCCTGTGCGCATGTGCATGTGTATGTGTGTGTGCATGTGTGAGTGCGTGTATGTGTGTGCATCTGTGTATGTGTGTGCACGTGTATGCATGTGTGTATGTGTGTGCATGTGTGTCTGTGTGTCTGCGTGTCTGCATGTGCATGTGTGTCTGTGTCTATGTGTTTGTGCATGTGCATGTGTGTGCGCGCATGTGTCTGTGTGTGCGTGCGTGTGTGTCTTGTGTTTGTGCACATGTGCCCATGTGCCCATGTGGATGCGACACTAGTGTGCATGTGCACATATGCATGACCCTGTGCATCCATGTGTGCCTATGGTGGCAGATAGGAGGTGGCTGGGAGGCCTGGGCGGACAATGAACCTGGGTGTGCAAGCTCAGGCCCAGAGAGTGACCCTCCTTCCCCAGTCGGTTCAGGCCCTGATCGCAGACTTCCGGGGGACCCCGACCTTCACCTACAAAGCGGCCCATATCTTCTTCACCGACAGTGAGTGAGGAGAGCCCAGGGTGTTGGCGGGTGGGGCGAAGAGGTGTGGGGGCTGCTCTGGCCTGATACCCCACTCCTGCCTCACCCCAGCCTGCCCCGAGCCCCTGTTCAGTGAGCTGGGCCGCTCTCGTCTGGCAAAGGTGGTGAAGACATTGAAGGAGATTCACCTTGCCTTCCTCCCCTACGAGGCCCAGGTACGGCCCGGGCTCATCCTGGGCAGGGGGTGGGGATTTGTGACCAAATGTCCCCTGTTCTCTCAGAAACAGACACTGAGGCTGGGCGCAGTGGCTCACACCTGTAATCCCAGCACTATGGGAGGCCAGGGCAGGAGGATCTCCCAGGAGCTGGAGATCAGCTTGGGTACAGAGCAAGACCTCGTCTCTTAAAAAAAAAAAAAAAAATAGAAATTAGCCTGGCGTGGTGGCGTGCACCTGTAGTCCTAGCTACTCAGGGGGCTGGGGTGGGAGGGTCGCTTGAGCCTGGGAGGTCGAGGCTGCAGTGAGCTCTGATTGCACCGCTGCCCTCCAGCCTGGGCGACAGAGCGAGATCCTGTCTCAAAAACAGATACATAAAGTAAAATTTAAAAAAGGGGAGGCACCCACAGAGTCCAAGGAGCTCTTGCCTTGATTTCTATCCCCCTGGGCCCCTGCAGAGGGCAGCATAGAGCGCACCGTGGGGTTGTCCAGCCAGCCTAAAGGACAGGGGCTGGGGTATTTATCCACTGACTCCTCCAGGCATGGGTTTAGGGTTGACCTGGGCCTGCCTCCAAGTTGGCAAAGCAGGCTTCAGGGACCAGGGACAGCTCCCAGGAGGTGCAGGTGTGCACCTGCAGCAACAACCCTGGTGCTTCTATCCCCCTCCTCGCCCAGGTGTTCTCCCTCGATGCCCCCCATAGCACCTACAACCTTTACTGCCCCTTCCGGGCAGGGGAGCGCGCGCGGCAGCTCGAGGTGCTGGCCCAGCAGATTGCCACGCTGTGTGCCACACTGCAGGAGTACCCGGCCATCCGCTACCGCAAGTGGGAACCCCAATGAGCCCTACCCCGATGCCACCCCCTCCCGCTTAACCACGAGCAGCACCTAACCTTTAACCTCTCTTGTGACCCCAGCCCCGGCCCTCACCCTGGTCCCTGTCTCCCACCTTCAAAACCCATCCTTGACCCCATCCCCTGATGATGTCCCCCATGTCTGGCCTCCCCACCAGGGGCCCAGAGGACACAGCCCAGTTGGCCCATGCCGTCCTGGCCAAGCTGAACGCCTTCAAGGCAGACACTCCCAGTCTGGGCGAGGTAAGGGGGCGTGCTTGGGAGGTGAGGGGCAGCCCCAGCCAGCTCAGGGTCAGTGCCTCATTCCTGCCCTAAACCTCACCCCAGGGCCCAGAGAAAACCCGCTCCCAGCTGCTGATCATGGATCGGGCGGCTGACCCCGTGTCCCCACTACTGCATGAGCTCACGTTCCAGGCCATGGCCTATGATCTGCTGGACATAGAGCAGGACACATACAGGTCTGCAGACTTGGAAGCCGCCCCCATCCTTGCCACCGACCTGGTTCCCCAGTCCTCAGCTCCCCTGACCCCCAGGCTCCCTCCATCCTCCCCAGATATGAGACCACCGGGCTGA